TCTGTAATTTTTTTTCGCCGCATTGCCAGTAACATGGTAATAGCGTTTGTCTGTGGCATGCAATCAGCGTTCGCTTGCATCTTCGACGATTTGTTGCATTTGCATAATTTATTTTTTTCTTTGCATTTATTTTTGTTGTTTTTTCTCCTGTCTTTAAAGTTTTTTTTTAGTAATTTATTTTCTTATTTTCTTGGGTTTACATATTTTAGTTCATGCAACAGAAGCATGCAGCAGGTTGCAGCAATTTTTGCGCATGCGTATGTGTGTATGCCTTTTAGACGGGACATTTAAGGTGCAAGCCTTATTTTTAAAATGCGACAATTTGACTCAGTAAAGGGTCTATTGGCCTTGGAAATTTTCATAACCTATAGCCAAATATGCTTAAATGATTATGTTATGTTTTATAATTATTTCTTATATAATTGATTCATACTTTGCATTGATAATGAGTGAATTTGATCAAGGGCTTCACTGCACTCATAAAAACGCTCACGCATTGCTTGTGAGCAGTAACCATAAGTTAGGTAACAATGGCTGTTTGCTACACACATTCATACTCGTATGTGAACCTGTGGATCCTTTGCAGTACGAAATGGAAGTTCAATCTAATGTGAGATGCAGTAGTTGTCATATAGGACGTCCAGGCTTTTTAAAGGGTGATTTTTTAAGAGCTAAAGGAAAGTTTTCAAACCAAAAAACGCACATAAAATTCATAAAAATGCATGAAACCCTTTTTTTTTTTTGAATTTATAGTAAGGTCCATATAATTTAATATATGAAGATTATTTCAGGCAATTGTTGACCGTGACTGCGCCTCAAACGGTCCATCCGCTGAGTCCAATTTTGGCATTCTCTACTTTCCAACATTTCTGCCGGTATCTCTAGCTATAAGACTTCTTGAAGTGCTATGAATTCTCCATGCCTGCGAAGTGTTCCACATAAGATCGGAAGGTGTTGTAAAGTCTTCATTTTGCCTGCTTCCGTATTTTTTCTGCATGTCTCGTATCATTGCTACTGATGCCAATTATATGTGCAACCTAGGCCGGTAGATTGTGCCCTAAAACTATTTGCCAGTTCTTTCGATATTGTTTTAGCAAAAACTAGTTGCGTCCTTTCATGATTTCTTGGCCACCTTCGAAGCCCTTAAGCCATTCCACTCTGATTTGTCTACTAGTTCTTTTGTAAAATTTCCTTTGTAGTGTCGTTAGTGTTTGTGACTGGCAATCCTATAAAGTATTTCGTTCCCCACACTGGAAATTTTCCATGAAATCCATATACGGTTATTTTACAGCCGCCCTAGGATTTGTTTCTCTGCCCACAAAGACATTTCCTGGCTTATTACTTATATATATAACATATAATTGACGCCTTGTGACCGCTGAAGCGATTTTCGGCCGAGCTTCTCTTCCAATTTGTGGTTTTTGCGTCTTGATATTTTTCCAACAAATGGAGGGATCTACAGACTCCGAACGGCTGATGATTTTTTTAGAAGGATCTTTATTTTATATCAGAAATACACTCGGAGGGGTTGACATTCCCTGCCGAGATGCGATTGCGGTTAGAAAACTTAGCTTATTTTTATTTTAAATTAATTTTCTATAACTTTTTGGATGTTGCCGTGGCCGACGAGCTTATTACCCTGCTGCATTATTGCTTTAATTTCCAACCAGCTGTACTGTAAATTGTAGTTTGGCAGATAAAATGGACTTGACTACCGCTCTACAGCACGAGTGTATAAGTCGGGGCTATGGGACTAGAAAATTCGTAAGTGCGACCAAGGCCTTCTTCCACTTCTCGTCGACATTGACGTTTGCAGCAGCTTGATATGCGGACTTAAACCGGTTTGATCTGGTTAGTTTTGTTAGAAAAAAAGGTGTTAAATAATTTCAGCTGTTGAGCTGCTCTTTGAACAACTTTGTTCCCAACAGAAGTATTTCGTTTTAACTAAATCTCAAGTCCCCAAGTGCTGAAAATTCTAGAAAAGGAAACTTGGGTGAATTTGATAATAATGGAATAATTTTAAGAAACTAGGAAACATAATCGACATCGATTGCTCGAAAAGAACTTCCTCTGTGTCCCTATGTGCACATTTGGTATCCCTGAAACGACCATCAAATAAACAATCAAGTGCCCGTTGAAAATTATAACTTTGAAGTCGCTGACAATTTCGTGTACATAAAGCCGAGTTAATGTTGTCCGTCTCGGCGAAAACACTCCAGATTTGCAAGGAGATGGTGTATCTTGGTGTCTCTTATTGGTGTCGAATGGATAAGCATAGATACGAGTAGCGGATTATTAACTCGGTTCGGTCGAAAATCGCTTCAGTGGTTACAAGGCGCCAATTATATATACATATATATTGTATATATTATATATAAATATATTCCTTCCGCTTTTTTGTCTTTCGAATTTCGCGGCTATGTACAAAGCGCTACAGAGCTCGTATCTGGCAACACTATACATAATTTGAAAGGTCTTGACATAACCTACAAAACAACGCTATGCATGATTAGTTTGGATATTGCGTTCAACAGTTATAGACGTGTAAACATGGAGTTCACTAACGCCGAAATTCGCGCTATTTTAAAGTTTTCCTTCGTTAAAGGCAAATCCGCTAGAGAAACGTTCCGTGAGATTAATGGTGTTTTGGGGGATGGTACTCTATCACTTCGAACCGCGGAGGAATGGTTTCGACGATTCAGAGCCGGTGAAAACGACACCATGGATAAGCCAGCCGGCGGAAGACCTGTGACGACAAATACCGATCAAATCATGGAATACATCGAGTTAGACCGGCATATGGCATCTCGTGACATCGCCCAGGAGATGGGAGTTAGTCACCAAACCATTTTGAACCATCTGCAGAAGGCTGGATACAAAAAAAAGTTTGATGTTTGGGTGCCGCATAATTTGACGCAAAAAAACCTTCTGGACCGAATCAACGCCTGCGATATGCTGCTGAAACGGAACGAACTCGACCCATTCTTGAAGCGGATGGTGACTGGCGACGAAAAATGGATCACATACGACAATATCAAGCGAAAACGGTCGTGGTCGAAGGCCGGTGAATCGTCCCAAACAGTGGCCAAGCCGGGATTGACGGCCAGGAAGGTTTTGCTGTGTGTTTGGTGGGATTGGAAGGGAATCATCCACTATGAGCTGCTCCCATATGGCCAGAGGCTTAATTCTACCATCTACTGCGAACAACTGGACCGCTTGAAGCAGACTATCGACCAGAAACGTCCAGAATTGGCCAACAGGGAGGGTGTAGTGTTCCACCAGGACAACGCCAGACCACACACTTCGGTGATGACTCGCCAGAAGCTACGGCAGCTCGGATGGGAGGCTTTATCGCATCCACCATATAGCCCGGACGTAGCGCCAAGTGATCACCACCTGTTCCTGTCCATGACGAATTCCCTTGGTGGTGTGAAATTGAACTCAAAAGAGGCTTGTGAAAAGTGGCTGTCCGAATTCTTCGCAAATAAGGAGGGGGGCTTCTACGTGGAAGGTATTATTAAGTTGCCGTCTAGATGGAAACAGATCATCGAACAAAACGGCGCATATTTTAACTAAATCCGATCACTGTAACACTTTTTATAAAGCATTGAATGAAGAGCAAAAAAGCGGAAGGGAGATATTATATAATCTCTTAAGCGGTGTCTATGCCAATAAAGAAGAAAAGCAGCAGTAGGCAGAGCTTTAACACTAAGACGTCTCTCGACGAATATAGATAAAAAACAAAAATCGCTCTAATTTCAGGCTCCCTGTACACCGCTGCAGGTTAGGGTTCAAGAATTTAAACGCCTTAAGGCATGCCTGTCGTAAGAGGCGTCTAAAATCTAATTGTTCTTTATACCGGAACGACCCGGATTTTTTTCCGGCTAAGGACTGTCACTCCCCAAACATTCTACAAAAGTAATTTGGGGAATATTTTTGCGGTTATAACAACAAAAAACTTGATGAGTTGAAACTTAGGCTTGAAAGTTTTCTATGCTATACGCGCTGGTGACAACGGTGAAAGAGGAAGTTTGCCACTAAAAATATCAGGTAAGGACCTAGTCTTGTCAGAAAAAATATTTTAAACGTTTTTCGAAACCAAATCTGACTTGAACAAAAGGGAATGTGGTTCCTCTCCTGTTCACCTCAAGTCCCCTTCAAGTCTGCTTTTTTTTTTGTTAGACTGAGGACAAAGTCTATTTTTTTTGTGCGTAGAAATGTTTGGCCCCATGACATTTCTAACCTAATTCGGGACGCTTATCTCCGTTTAAGAAAATTGTTGACTTGAAGAGTTTCAGATTTAAAAGCCCGAAATAATAATCAAAATAAAAAAATAAGAATTATACAGTTGCACTTTCCTCGAACTATTGAAGCCACAAGTACATACATATATACGTGTACATATATTCGCTGAAGTTATAGACTAGTTGGCGTAGGTATTACAGAAAGTCGAAGTGCCCAATACTCACTTGTTATCGATCAGTGCTGATAAACTGTGAGGGAATGCAAGTATTAATAAATACAAAAACAACAACAATGATCTTTGCACAAACATCACAAAATTAAAGAGAGTAAAACATAAGAGAGATAGAGAATGTTGGAGAATATATCAGTGGAGGTTGATATGAAAAAAACTATAATACTCTGCACTTTGTTTTTCAACGACACACATATCAGCCGGCAATTATGGCATGTGTTTTGCAAAAATGACTTAACAATAAAAATATGAATTTTAGAGAATGCTCAATAATAATAACGTTTTATGAAAAATATATGGATATAAAAATTAAAATAATGATATTTTTCATTAAAAAAAATTTCAAAATAATTAATTTTCATTAATTTAACAAGCAATAATTGTTGCGCCTCATTTTCGAAAAAATTTCAAAATTGGAAAATATTGATTTATGTCGTTTTCGAAAAAAACTTTAATTTTTGCACATATTTATTTTCAATACAAAAAACAGAACTTGGCAGCACCACACCAGCCAACAAGTGTAAGCTTATTCGTGCAGTAGCTACTCAGCGTTTGACAAGTGCGGAGCGTGTGCACACTCAGAATACTCAAACAATAAGAACCAACGAAAAATATAAAAATTATACACGAAAACATGTCCAGAATCGTAAGAAAATTGATAAGCACCAACAATGCAGCCAAACCAGTGGCACCATATAAGTATGTAAATATGTTTTAACTCTTTTTTTGTTATAAAATATAAAATGTTAAGCAGTAAGCATTAAGAACAAATTGACATTTGTCAAAATATGCCATTAAATGTATTAATCTTTCATGGGGGCCACCAGTGAACGCAAATCTTTGGCTTTAAAAACACAAATCATACATAAATACATATGTATAGATATATATATATATATATATATGTATGTATATGCAAATGAAATATTAATTTATCTCTTGCAGTCAAGCTGTTGTTGCCGATCGCACTGTCTACGTATCCGGCTGCCTTGGTCTGGACAAGGAGACATTGAAACTAGTGCCAGGCGGCGCTGCTGAGCAAACTGAATTGGCCTTGAAAAACTTGGTTGCCACACTGGAAGCTGCCGGTTCGGGTGTTGACAAAGTGATTAAGAATACGATATTTGTAAAGGATCTAAATGACTTTGGCACTGTCAATGAGGTGTATAAGAAAGGTGAGTTGTAGCCGCATACGAGTATATGTAACGTTTATGCTATTTATGGCTAGCTATTGTAAAAAGTAATCAATAATTACTAATTAATTGTATGAAAAATCCAATAACAAGCACTTATTAGCTTATCAACTGAGTATATCAGCACAATTATATATATATATATATATATATATATATATGTATGTATGTAAATAGAGCACTTAATTTAAGAGTTCTTTTTGTACTAATGTGATAAGCAACACATTCATTTTTCTATTATTCGAGCTTTCACAACATTCTTACATACTTAAATACATACCAACTACCGGCTATCGTCTGACTATGCCTCTTTATTCTCTTTATCTGGACTTTTACTTTTATTTTTATTAATTTATTTTTCGCTTAAAAGTCTCCACATCTTATTATTTACCTCTCCTTCTATATATTATTTTTAATTTTTAATTTTTTTTTTTTCAGTTTTCTCCAAAGACTTTCCCGCTCGCAGCTGTGTACAAGTCGCTCGTTTGCCTCTCGATGCGTTGGTCGAGATTGAGAGCATTGCTTTGATCGGTGATGTCGTTACTGAGTCTAATTAAATTCGTGTAGAATTCATTTTTGCTATTCTTTTTTTTGTAATAAAACGAATTTAATTAAAGTCTGCATAAAAAGTTTTAATTATATTATTTTTTTTAATTCACATAATCAACCTTTTCAGATGTGGTGGATTCGAGGCAACACGCTCATTTATAAAATTAACAAGAGCAACGGTGTTTTTGATATCTTATGGACGATATTTTTCTGTTAATAAATAGTTAAGTTCGGAAATTTTTAACTCTTAAAAATTTTGTTTTGTCTTATTATCCTAAAATAGTGAAAGTGTGGCCAAAGGAAAGAAAAAGGGAAGTGAATAGAAGAGTTTAATTTAACTCAAATTCTCGTCTTCAGCCCTAGATTAACAGAAACATAGCTTTCTAAATTTCCATATCTTTTCTAAAGAAACGACTTCGTCAGTGTAAATTACATTTCGATCACCATGTTTTGAAAACCTCTTTCCCAAGCGGCTCTGCGTATATTTGACTATTCAAATATTAATAGTGAGTTACGACTACTGTAGAATTGCAATTTAGGTGTGCTTAAGATAAATACTCTATCATTAGCGCTGTTCACACAGACGCTCAATTAACTAATTGGCGATTGATAACTATTGTAGTTGAGTGGATATTGTTAAAAGGATATTTAAAGTCTGTGTAATATTAATAATATGTAGTTCTTAATGTGAAGAGAGAGAGAGGAGCGAGGGAAGGTTCAGTCTAAAGCATTATTCTTACGAAAAAAATGTGACGTTAATTTATTGTAATTTAGAACGCACAAAAAGATTATAAACGTAAGGCGAAGAAAGAGTGCTGAGTAAATTCTTCAAGGAATTTCCAAATAAAATATATTTTTAGTAATAAGTATTCTTTTAAAATCTTATTTGTAACAAATGCATTAAACCGGATTTTGACAGCAGAGTTAATGATGCTGCATTCTCTTGAGAAGTTCACTATACATTTTTTATTTATAAATTCTACGTGCATATTAATTGTTTAATTTATATTTATTTTAAAATACACCATTTATAATTTACTCAGTCAAAGTTTACCAAAAATAAAGAAACAAACAGCAACAACTATCCAAAACTAATTGCTTCAATTTTATTAAGGCTGTGTGAACACAAAAGTTAGTGATGCTATTTCAAAACTAATATCCTCAGTAATGAAAGTGTGTGAATATATTATAGTTTTAATTATTTTTAATTGCTTTTGCCATAATTGCCAATAACTTTGCTTAGATTCTTATTATTTATCAATGAAAACTTTGCATAACTTTTTTCAAAACTTAATTGAGCTTGTATGCACATCGTTCTGAAATTAAGTTAAATTGTGACAGAGTGCTCGTGCAGCATCTTTTAAAAAGGACACCCAGCTTTTATGCATGATGCCCTATAAGTCTATGTTCTGCCAGGTTCTCTATTATATTTAAAATGTCCTTTTCAGAGAATGTAAGTCATCGATCTTCTTCGATAAGTTTGACCCGACTTACGACAAGAAGAGTCATACCAATGGGTTCTATATCCAAGGGAATCTGGTTGTTAATAACTTGTCATGTAGATCATTTCTATGCTCTTGTGACCAAGTACCCAAACGAGAGAGAGAGTGTCCTGTTCAGCCATTTCCTGAGTGCAACATTTTAGAGTTTGCCATGATCGAGCTTACAGCTTTTATTGCTAAATGTGTGTTACTGAAAATGACGGTATATCTTCACATCTATTTGCTTCAAATAAGTTTAACAACTACCATGATAACAGAGTTTTTGGCCTGACCACGGGATCTGGCAGCTTGAACGAGAGTACCAATCAAGGGGAAGAAAATAATAAATATATTTGAGTTATCTATATATCATCGAGTGATTAGCATTGCATACTGCCATTCTGTAGAACAGACTTTTAGTCCTGGTTCGATTAACATCCAAAATTATAGAAAACTAATTTTTTTAATTGTGGTTGTCACGGCAAGGAATGTCAAGCCAAGTATCATAGTCTTTTGGTCATTAATCCCTATTACGAACCAATGTTTTCAAGATAGCAGAATGTCCAGAATTACATTTAAAGCATTTCTTAGAGTAGTCCTAAGCGCAGATATCAACGCTTTTGTCTTAAATATGAAAATCAATCTACAGAATCTGAGGGCCCAAGCTCTTTTACAGGTTTAGAAAGCTGAGTTTTATACTCTTTCAGCTTCCTTCCTGCCTTGCTAATGGAATTTTGTATTTTTTGGTTATGAGAACAAGTTCTACCTTACCAGAATTAATATGCCTTAGTTACCTGTTTATGTTACGGTAACCAAACCACCTGATTCCATTTCAGAGAGTCTAGAACATGGTTGAGAGAGCACCGTACTTAGATGTTCCTTTGCTGACATGTCTGAATACAATAGATCCCCAATGCTAGTGATTGCCGTTCTACAATCCAGCGGCTAATCTAGTGTTGATTTTATAGCATTTGACTGTAAGTTGGAGCTTCTTGAAGAAGGAAAACGGTTTGTGTAGTGCGATATCTGTGGAGTTAGTATTTTGGTATGAATGCTGGTCGTTGGATAACACTGGCCTGGCCTTTGTCGACTACAATTAATACTACTTTATTATAATGGAACACAGTGAAATTTAATCATACCTAAATAAATACTTTGAGCCTGAATTTTTCTGAGGCTCTCCAGCTGATTTATAGGATTTTATTTCCTACTTGGGAAATTTACTGCACGGATTGTGTGATTAGATAATATATCTTAACTGAGCTTCACCCTCTTCCTCTCAACTGCAAATATTTCTTCTAGAAGATCCTTATTATGTAAGTGCGATTGAATTGGAGAACAGTCGTGTTGGAATAGCCGGGAGCCGGCACAAACGCTCGCCAAGTCAAGATTGAATGCCAGAAAGTTTTTTTTTGTGTTTGATGTAATTTGCAAGCGATCATCCATCATGAGCTAGGATAGTTACCCTGCAGAAGCTTCAAGTTTGGTTGGGAGGTTCTTATGCATCCTGACAATCATACAAAAAACAACATAGTTTCACTCAAAAATTTTTTGAAAAATATTAACCAACTGACATAAAAATATTTTTTGCCTTTTGCTTTAATTTTGTGCAACCAATTTAGTTTAAAAAAAATATAACTTTACCAAATTTAAAAAAAAAAATTATGATAAAAAATGCAAACTTTTCAATGTAAACAAAAGAGTAAAGAAAGATAAAACGTACTCACAAAAAACTCAAAGGCTTTGCATTCTGAAGTTTAATGGATAGAAAATTATTTTCAGCCCGTTTAGCATTTTTTTATAAAAAATTATATTATATTTATGATATATATCTTGACAAAAAATCTCTTTCTTTCAATTTTATATTCAGTGAAACTACCTTTCTTTTTTGTATCATAGCCCTGGCCTTGCTGCAAGTGATTCCTTCCTCCTGTCTGTTGTGAATATTTTGGCTGGTGAAGAATTGGCCTCAAGGGAAGCCTATGAAAATCGATTTTCCTAATTCTTTGTCAATTGTGGCAAGCGTTGCTCTGAGATGGGCATACGACAGTACTTTCAAAGTGGGAAAAAGTTATGGAGCAAATTTAGTAAATAAAGTCTAAAACTTTATGAGAAGAAATCGAGTAGGTCTACTCGTATTATCAATTTGTTCTTGATTTTTTTTCAATATCCAAGCGCCTTTAATTCCCTTACACTTTACACGACTCCGTAAAACTTTCGCCGCAGGGTACGCGCATACGAGCATATATATGTATATCGTATATTTAAAAAAAAAATTATGCATGGCATGACACATTAAAATCGAATGTTGAAAAATCGCGTTTGGCGTTTAAAAATATGCAATTTAATGTTGTAATTAACAAAGCTGTTTACATGCAGACAATGTATACAATGTAATTAATTTAAATCGCCGCTTTAACTCGCAATTATGTTTCATAAATATGCGAAGTGAAAAACATGCGAATCGCAGTTATCAAAAGAAGAAGAAGAAGAAGAATTAAGCCAAAAATCGAATAAAACGTAATGTTGAAAAATTGTATACAGGAAGCTTAAACACGCATATGTCATGTATGTTGAGTATTTTTATGCATTTATGGCTGCCTTGCAGCGCCCACACAGTGGGTGATCGGCAGAAAAAAAATTTAAAAAAAAAAATTATAAGAAATGTAAAAAATTCGCTTGAAGGCAAGAGCGTGGCTAAAACACAATGAAGGTTACACCTTAGCAGTGTAACTGATGCAACTGCTTTTGGCTGTTACCGTTAACTTTGGTTGTCGCCGCTGATTGTCGTTGTTGCACTTTCATTCAAAAGAAAGAGATATTTAAGCGTAAGTACAGGCGTGTTTTTTTGCGGAAAGAAATACTAGGGAAATATATAAAAAATAATGTAATACTTTTATACTGGAGAAATCTTAGAAACATAAAATTAAAAATATTTAGAATTCAACAAATGTAAAGTCCATTTTCAATGCATATAAAAATAATGTAAAAAAAGTCGGAAATAAAAAAAAAAAATATTTTTTACTCACGTCGCAACAATAACTGAAATAAACTTCAAAAATAGAATCTTAAATATCAGAATAATAAAAATTAAAAAAAAAAATGTTTTAGGAATGAAAAAAAAAATCTAAATAAATCGGGCACGAACTTATGCACTCATCCAATATTTCCCATTAATAAATATTTTATTTTTATTATTTTTTGAATTTCTTTCACAATAGTATTTAAAATTTTTTTTAAATAATAAGTTATTTTAATTGGGTGTAGCCAGAAACGATTCATTTGTCAATCTGGCTAGCCAACAAATGTCTGTTTGGAGGTAAGCTGAACTTAGAAGGTGAATTTCCCTATATTTAGCGATAGGGTTTGGGATCCATCACATGAAACATATTTCAATGAAAAATAACAAAAAACATCGGAAGTGAGACCTCCCTTTTGATGACGACCACCACAAACGTTTTGAGGGATAACGTTTTGAGGGCATGCACCTGAAGGGTTCAGTGTTTTGATTGGAAAGGGGACGCTTCCCAGCTGGTTGATGCACTCTAAAGAAAAAAGGCTGACATTACCGTCGTCCAAGAAATGCGATGGGCGGGAGAAGCACGA